TGGGGAAAAAATAAGAACCAAGAGAGATTATGTAAAGGTGCAAATTTCCAATGATGAATGTCATTATATTGTATACCTAAATTGTACCAATAAAACTTTAAAAAAATAAATGACACATGGCTGCATTTCCTCATAGGGACACTATGAGTTTTAAACGGGAGCACAGAAAGACCACTATCTGGAGTGATAAACCCAGGCAGTCTGGCCTGAGAAACTGTGCTTGCTTTCAAGTTCTTTATTAGTCCATGCAGTCCATGATGAATGCATTCACAGTGGGGAGTTGGTGAATGGAAATAAGACATCTTCGTTCTTTTTTCATCCCCTCCTCCTCTCCCTCACCTTCATCTCTCAGTCCCCTTCCCATTTGCGAAAGGTCTAAAAGATGATAGGAAATATGGACAGGAAACTGTACTCTTAACATTTAGATGCTATATTCCAAATACTATTTTTTGGTATATAAATTATAGAAACATTATTCTTACAGATAGTAAAATAAAGAGCTGGGAGGGTTTTTTTTTTTTTGGTTTTTGTTTTTTTAACAAACGACTGAACAGCCTGTTTAATGAATCAGACACTCTACTGGGGACACAAAGTGAATAAAACGTAGCCACCCCTCCCCCAAAGATGACACAGGCCAGCAAAAGACTATTAACACTAATCAAAACATTATTTAAACTATCATATTGCTAATAAAAGGAAAACATCATGACAAAATATAACCTGGCTCACTCTGAGGTAACTGAGGAGTTGTCAGAGGTAACATGGGAAGCAAGTGTTGAGCCGTAAATTGGAGGAATGTGCTGTAAAGAGGTTGCATTTGCAAAGACACGGACACAGATCCTGGTAAGAGGCAGTTACTCAGAGGTGATGCCAGGGCTTCCATCCTGGTTACGAGCCAGAGGAGAGGATGGGAGGCCAGGGTGGGCTAAGGTGATGTGTGAATCAAGCTGTGAAAGAAGGTCCATGACAGTGTTAGGAGTTGGCATGTTGTATCCAGCAAAGTACCAAGGCAGGATCAAAGATTTCAGGAAGGTACTCCATAGTCCCAAGAAAGGTGAGCAAGATGGCAAAGCAGTGAGAGAACAAACCATGTATATCTAATCCATTAACATCAAGGGAATTTGATGATTTGTGTTTTTTAAAAAATAAAATACAGATTTTAAAATACAATTATATTTGTAACATATTAAATCCTAAAAATTAAAATCAAGCTACTTGGTCATTAGAACTTGTACTCATTTTTTTAACTCTTAAAGGCCATAATTTTTATCACAGTGCCTCAAACACTTACATACATTGTTTTTTGCCTCATCTCAAAAACATTACTTTCAGTAGTAAATAAATGTCATCCAATGCATCAAGTAAACAAGATATTCAAATCAGAACCAGACCAAGAAGACCAAAGAAATCAACTGCAAGAGTTATTAACAAAAATACTCCTCATTGAAACTATTTCCATTATGAATTCCAACAGTCTTTCTTTGTAGTCCGTAAGAGTCAGTCATATTTCTCATTAAAGCAAGTGCCTTGGATTTGGTGTACATTGTCATCAAGGTTGGCGGTTCTGACCATGCTGACCATCAGAAAACTAAACCTCTCCCGAACAGAAAAGCTAAGACTTCACCCTGAAACATAAACCCCCCAGCTGACAGGCAGCCTTCTTTTGTAGAAGCACTCAGATCCCAGTTGGGTGTAATCCTTTTGCCTTCAAAAGCCAAGGCAAAGTGCAGTAATGCTATCCTCACTGCAGACAGAGGGAAGATGGCCCCGTTTACTGTTTTCTAATCTGCTCTTTATCAGAATGTCTGAGGGTCTGGGTTGTAACCATATACTTTCATTAAAAAACAATCACCTTACCCTCAGCATTTCAAAATGTTATCAGGAAGCCCACATCTGAGATCTGATGTCTGACTGACTGCATGGAGCTTTCTCCGGGTCTGCTACCCTATCTGTTTCAGTAAAACGAAACCTTGCATGTACTGACATTTCCTCTCAGAAGACATTTCCTCTCAATTCAATATATGTTCTCCTCATACCAGCAGAGGGAGGCCTGATCCACTTCCTGAGCTTTGGGACTGCTCGATGAGGTCTCTCAGGGACTCTCCAGGAGGAATGTAGGTCTCATCCTGTTCCAGCCCGATGCTATACCGAGGTCTGGTTTCTTGCCTTTTATATCTAAACATGATGGGGATAATTTTAGAAACCAAAATACAATGATAGGGTAAAAACTTTGTAATATATTGATTTTAACACATAAATAATACAAAACCACATACTTAGTACTTCCTGTTCTTAGTTATGATTTCTAAAGTACAAATCATAATTACTTTGCTGACTTATTTTTTAATAAACTTCATGTTTTTTACTGTCCCAACATTTAAATTTTTTTCTTTTTCTGTTTAACTGCATATATCCAAACAGATTACATTGTATTAGTTTTCTCAGTTATAATATTTATTCCTAAACTATTTTCCTTTAAAGTCCCTAGTTAATTAAAGATGAAAAATCTTGGTTTACAGAAAACATTACACCAAACTCTGTCATATAAGATAATATATAAAACAGTAACAAGTTAAATAAAATCAAACTTTAAACACATTCTGTTAATAATTATGTTTTCAACTATAAAATAAATTTATTTGTAACAACTAATTGACCCATTTGCAGAATATTACAAATAAATATTAAATTGCTCAAAAGGCAAATAATATGGATGTAAAGGCCTTTAATATTTTACAAACTAGAAAATAAGCTCTGGGTTTCTGAAAAATAATTTATCACACTTAACTGAACTTACTTGATTTTAATATTTAATCTATAAATTATGTTTAAAATATCTCAATACTGAGAAATTTTTTAGCTCAAGAAATAAGGACTTATTTGAATCACTCTAAGTTCAATATGGTCTTTTCTTTGCTTAGAATTAAACTTTAGTAGCAAAAAGTCCCTGAATTCCCCAATTACCCTTGTTTCCTTAGGGATTAAATACTTATGTGAGTAGTTCTGATGTCTGAAGCAGAAATTAGATAGGTATCTATTTATAATATCATTACAACAAATATTGTCAATAGTAACAGATATTTTCAGTTGAATATTAAATTTAATTAGGGAAAAGAAAGTTGTGTCTAAAAACACCAATAAGTGAAAGCAGAATATTAGAATAAGGAAGATATTATAAATTCAAAATTCTACATCTACATGTTAAACTTACCTGAAGTAGCAGAATAAAATGATAAGGACCAAGAGCAAACTACAGACAGTCACAGATATAAGTAAGGCCTTGTGATGTATAGGTCCATCAACAAAATCTGAAATGAAAAGAAAAAGAATGACCACTATGATACGGAGAATATTTCCACCTAAAAACAAGGAATCAGATCTTTCCCAAAGTCCTTGCTAAGCATTATATGCAAGATACGAAAAAACTTTCAGCACGCTAATTTATAAGAAAAACCACATGTATACTGCAAACTAAATATTAGACTAGAATGAATCATTGTTTATCTAGGCACTTTTTTCAGTAGCACACAGATCCCCTCTGGAAGGGGTAGGCTTGATACATGGTAAACCCATCGGAAGACTATGACAAAGGAAAATAGATCTAAAATATAATCAGAAAGCTCAGTTACTCTAGACTCAGGTGGTGGGTCCACATGACCTTCTCACATGGTTCTGAAGCACTCTATACTATGAATCTGGATTTAAAATCACATCTATATTCATTGTACATAAATGCAAAGTCATCCTCATGATGGCTACAAAGGCAGAGACTCCTGAAATGTTGCCAAACAAAAGGATGTACATTACTTTAAATGAAGATGTCTTCAAAAGCATTTAGCTTAACTTTTTCACAAATGGAATCACTTTTTTAAAGAATGGACAGATTCTGGACAAAGAATGTGTGATGCTTTTAAAAAACTAATTATTAAATATTATTCACTTGGTCTTAACTGCAGTTCTTTTTGTTTTTTCCAGTACCAGGTATTGAACTCAGGACCTTGTGCTTGCAAGGCAGGCGCGGTGCCATTGAGCTAAATCCTTGGCCCTTTAACTATAGTTCTTGACAAAGCAAATTTACTTAAAGCATTCTTTCTCAAATTTTATGAGTAAGAATGACTGAGAGACCTTTAACACAAATGCATATTTACTGATTTTTAACCTCAGGAATTTTTACTCAAAGAATCTTATTTTTCAACAATCCTCTTAGGTGAGTTTTATGCAGCTGGTCTCTGGGACATATTTTGAGGAAAAATGACTGATAATCAGGTGCACTTATATAACAGTAGAACTAGCACCATTTTTAAGGGCAAAATATATCCTTGAGAAGAGTGATTACTGTCACTTAGTATTATAATTTATAATTTTGGTTCCTCAAGAGGGTTTCCAACTGTGCTGTATGCTTGTACATGTATGGCCACCTAAATATTTTGTATCCAAAGTGACTTATTGCAAGTTCCATAAAGAAAAACTGAAAATCATCCATTAACTAAAGTAAACAAAATCACCACCTCCTTACCACTCAGGTCAACAGGTAAGCAAGGCTATCTCAATATTATTTTGATGAACAAAAGAAAGTTCATGAGCAAAATATTTCACCATATTATATTGTTTTGTAAGATTATTTTTCATTTATAATATTTCAGACATTTTCCAAAAACAACAAATGATTTTAAAGATTACATAGTATAGAGACATCCTAATTAGAAAGTCAGTCTTCTACTCTTGTATATTTAGAAAATTTCAGAGATAATATTATAATGCTTCTTTACTGTAATACGTAAAAGTCTGCAGTGAACACATTCACATTCATCTTTGCACATGTTCATACTTATTTCTTTGTGTTCTAGAAATAGAATTATTAGCTCAATGTACATCTATATCAAGTTTTTTCACTCATATTGTCAAATACATTTTTGAAAGACTGCAACAGTTTCTACTTCATTATCAATAGGAATGTTTTAATTATTTGGAAATAATTTTACCCTTGCAAAAAACTGTAAAAATAAAGAACTCACATATGCCCTTCACCTAGATTTCTCATTGTTAACATCTTATATTTATTATTTATCCCCTTTCCCTCTTCATGGTCAATATTATGATTTACTCATCAGTTTAAAATATGTATGTTTAGTGATTATTTATGATTCATACTATTCACAAAATATTAATGAATCAGTCATCTTTAAAGACTAAATGAAAGTCATTAAAAACAACCAGTTTTATACAAATAAACTAAAAGCTCTGCCTATTGACCACAAAAAAGGAGTTCAGAAACTTTAACCACCAGATACTGTCCAAAAAGCCATTGTAACTTCACCCAAAGAGAAGCAATATATAATTATAACATACCTTGTATGCAACACATTGCTTAGTAAAACCTGAAACTAATATGCAGTTTTTAAAACTAAACAGGCTGAAATTTTATACAATAAATTTCCCCTGTATTTCTTACATATACACACAAAGACTGTCTCTGGTATTTTTCCAATTTTTAAGATAACAGAAGTTTGATTTTGCAGAAAATGAGAGAGAATGTTACTCAACTAAAACTGGAGCTAACCAATCAGTAATATTTTCAGTATATGAACACAGAATACTTTTTCATTCTAGTGATTTAATTTTACTAAAACTGTCCATTTCCCTGCCATTTACTTTGCACAGAAATGTAGATTACAGATTATAGCCTGGCCTTTACTCATCTTATTATATTTCTGATTTATAAGAGCAGCGAGACCTCAGAGGATCCCAAGGATTCATCCCTTACCACCAAGCATTTTATTTAAAGGTAGCATTACCTCCCTATTTTTCTTTTCTTGCTCCAATAATCCTATCCCTGCACCCTCACCTTCTGCCTCCTTGGCTCCCTTCAGGAATAGCTGATCCTTATCAAGAGCCCTTTTGTTTCTGTTGGTCCCTTTGCTTGTGTTTTAATCTGTCATTACCTGTGCTCCCTGCATTAACAATGTAAACTCTCGAGTCACCGCCACAGGCTGGAAAGCGAACTCCTCCAGATAGCCATCAGGAAAAAAGCAGAGGCTGCTGGTTCTTTCTGGGCAGCAGGTTTTTAACCTGCACTGTCCTCCAACTGCTCAGGGACTAGAATCAAGAACCCAGGGGAAGTCAGGATCACTGTAGCAGGTAAGTAAGGCTCCCCAGTGGTTTCATAACACGACTGTGTTCTGTGGCACTGTCTGCTCTCTGATAAGTAGAACAGTTAGTGTTTAAAAGGACAGGACTAGTTTTGTAAAGCTAGAAGATGGTTCATAATAGCAACATGAAATAAAAGAGAAAATCATGTAGCCAGAAAGGATCCTGGAAATAACCACTGGCCTGAAGACATTTTGATATGAACTCTGGCTGTTAGAATCATGGCTCACAGGAGGCGTCTTTCTGTTAGTAGAGCAAAAAGAACCTGAAAGCACACTCCTGCTGCAGGTTCTTACCCAACAAGCAATAATGTACACATTTACTATTGTTATACTTCAAAATTCCTTTTTATAGTAAACTCTACAAATAAATTATCTCTGTATGAACAAATCATGATATCCTCATTTTCTTGCATAAAGTATTGAGGGTTATATTCCTGATCACAAAATACATTAAGACAAAATTTTTATTTCTAGATTACTTTATTCAAAAAACAAATTACCTCTAAATTCTTCTCATCTGTCTGACCAAAAAAAAAAAAAGCCTGAAATTCCAAAATTGGCCATTTCAAGAAATATTAGTGCTACTCTCCGTCAAGTACTTTGGCTCAGATTTACTAGTTGGTCTGTAATGCTAAGGCATGATCTGTATAGCAGAAGGTGAATTCTAGCTCCCACTTGTGCTAGACACTTGTGCCAGACACTACCATATATTCAATATGTGCTGAGGAGAAACTGATGTTTCACTGGCTCAATACTTGTTTTCTGGAGAATTGTTTGTAATTAGCACTAAAGGATAATATTTTAAAACAAATCTGTATGGTGCTTGAACTACAGTTATCTTCACTGAAGTAAAAAAGAAATAAAATAATTTTTAAATTTGAAAGTCCTTTATTATAGTTTGCCTTAAACTACACAGAAAGCACCATTATTTGTAAACAGAGGGTTATTTCAGATAAATTTTTTATTAAGTCAATATGTAATGTATTCAAGTAATTTCCATATTTAAACATTTAAACTTATACTTATTTTTTTAAAGCAAGAGTTTTATTTATTGCATTTTAACACCAAGATATTGCTTCCTCTACATAGAAGACTCAAAAAACTCCACCAAAAGACTTCTAGACTTAATTGACAGATTCAGTAGAAGTAGCTGGATACAAGGTCAACACTCAAAAATCAATAGCCTTCTTGTACACAAATAACAGACTCACTGAGAGAGAAATTAGGGAACCAATTCCTTTCACAATAGCATCTAAAAAAAATGAAATACCTAGGAATCAATCTAACGAAGGAAGCAAAAGACCTCTACATTGAGAACGACAGCACCTTGAAAAAAGAGATCGAAGAGGATATAAGTAAATGGAAAGACATCCCCTTGTCCTGGGTAGGAAGAACCAATATGGTGAAAATGGCTATACTTCCAAAATGGCTATACAGATTCAATGCAATCCCAATTGAAATCCCCACAGTATATTTCACAGAACTAGAGAAAACAATCCAAAAGTTCATTCAGAACCAGAAGAGACCTAGAATAGCAAAAGCAATTCTAGGCAACAGAGACATGGCAAGGGGTATCACAATCCCCAACTTGCAACTATACTACAAAGCCACTGTGATAAAAACAGCATGGTACTAGAAAAGAAACAGACCTGAGGATCAGTGGAATAGATTAGATGATGCAGAAACAACTCCAGACGTACTCAGCCACCTCATCTTTGACAAAGGAGCCAACCACTCTCATTGGAGGAAAGAAAGCCTGTTTAATAAATGGTGTTGGAAAAACTGGATTTCAACCTGCCAAAGATTAAAACTAGACCCATACCTACCATGCACTAAACTAAAATCAAAGTGGATTAAAGATCTAAATATTAAGACAGAAACACTAAACTTGCTGGAAGATAAGTTAGGTAGAATTTTGAAGACATTGGCATAGGAAAAGACTTTATGAATAAAACCTCAGTAGCACGGGAACTAGCACAAAGAATCAACAACTGGGATCTCATCTTATTAAAAAGCTTCTGCACTGCAAGAGAAACCACCAACAGAGCTAGGAGACAACCTACAATACGGGAAAAAATTTTTACCAGCTGTTCCTCAGACAAAGGTCTACTACCTAGAATACGTAAAGAACTTAAAAAAATCAGAGCCCCCAAATATAAAGACCCAATTCAAAAATGGGCATCTGAAATGAACAGACATTTCTCACACAAAGAAGTAAAAGCAGCAAATAAACATATGAAAAAATGTTCAACATCACTGGTCATTTGAGAGTTGCAGATGAAAACAATGCTGAGATTCCACCTCACCCCACAAAGAATGGCTGCTATCATGAAATCAACCAATAACAAATGCTGGCAGGGCTGTGGGGAGAAAGGAACCCTTCTCTATTGTTGGTAGGAGTGCAGACTGGGGCAACCACTGTGGAAATCAGTACGGAGATACCTCAAAGAACTAGGGCTGGAGGTCCCATTTGACCCAGCTATTCCCCTGCTGGGTATCTTCCCAAAAAATTAAAAGAATCATACCACAGCAATATATGCACACACATGTTCATAGCAGCTCAGTTTGTAATAGCTAAAACTTGGAAACAGCCCAATTGCCTATCAACTGGAGACTGGATAAAGAAGATGTGTTTTTTGTTTTTTTGGGTACCAGGGATCGAACTCAGGTCCTTGTGCTTTCAAGGCAGGCGACAGAAACACTGAGCTAAATGCCCGGCCCCTGAAGATGTGGTTTTTTTATAAAATGGAGAACTACTCAGCCATAAAGAATGAGAAACTAGGGACATTCATAGCTAAATGGATGCACATTGATGCCACACTCTTAACTAAAATAAATAGGACACATGTAAATACCAAATAGTTTGTGGTGTGAAAAACTAAGTGCAAATAAGGATCAAGATGTATAACTGATAATGTGAAATAGGAAGAAAAGGTCTAAAGGAGTAGGGGAAGTGGGAGGGGCAGGGGAAAGGAAAGAAGGGAAAAGAAAAAATATGAGAAAAAAAAAAAGTGTAAATAGGGAGTGGTGGAGGGCGTGGAGGGAGGGCAGAAGAATGGGGAAAAATAAGAACCAAGATACATCATGTACAGGTACAAGATCCCAATGATGAATGTAACTGTGTTGCATACCTAAAATGTACCAATAAACGTAACGGGGAAAAAAAGTGATGATAAGAAGCAATGTTTGGGGGAAGAGACTTTGGCACACCCTCTCCCTCTGCACTGACCCTGTGTCCTCCGCTGAGGGTTCCCAGGCCTCCCTGGTCAGTTTGGTTTATGCTGAAGGACCACACTTGATCTCACTGCTGTGCACACTTCCTCCGCGGTAGAAGACTGCTATCCTCGGGCACTCTGCTTTGCCGTGGCTTCTCCCCAGGAATGAGCAGAGCAAACTGAGCCAGCCACAGGCTGTACAAAGTGGGTGAAGTGTGTGGATCTTTGCTGCCATTTCTTCATCTTTACAGTGGGAAGAGTGCCTTAAAGGTCGCAGTGAGGTTCAGGTGGGCTAATGTAATACTCAGCACGATGCTTGGCGTGCACTAGTCATTCTAATTTCTCACTTTTCATTTACTCAGCCTATCCTGCTCTACCTATTTAGAAAAGTCTTATCTGTCCTTACAGTCTCATTCAAGGGTCACTGCTATGAGGCCACTGTGACCTCCTCCCACCCCAGACGGAGCTCGCCACTCACGGTCCATTGTCTGTAGGTCACTTTATTACCTAGCTCAAATACGGAGCTCGTCCTGATCAGACACAGTGATACTGCGGCTGTGGACTCGCTCCGAGCTCGAGCTTCCCACTACTCGAACAGCAAAGTTCAAAAAAAAAAAAAAAAGAAAAACAGAAATCTGCTCAGTGTACGTCAACTGCTCTCTGTAGTCAAACTGAAAATCCGACTGAAGAAACCCGTAGGGACTGAGTCCCACGGCTCACTGCAGACACAGGGGCTACGCTGCAGACAAAGCTCCACGCTCGCCCCGACTACAGCTAGCACTTGTGTCCCTGCGTCACAACATTCCTCACTGTGGCTTTTTTCTGTTTTTAACTTTATTTGCGCAAATATCATACTCATGGGTTCAAAAAAAGTTAGTGATACCAGCAGTAAAGCTAAGAGGAAAACTGTGAGAACCATGGTAGAGTTCAACAAGAAATCATTGCAAAATTTGTTAAAATGCTGGAAAAATTAATTTATAATATTTGGGCCTCAGAACCAATTATTTAGTTTTCCATTATTTCTTATGAAAAAAATACATTCAGTTCTCAAATTTTTCACAAATTTGTAACAAACTGAGCTCAGTGACTGAGGTATCATTGTATAAATTAGTTATTCAGATTTTCTTTCTCATATCCTAGAGAACACTTCTTGGAAGAAAGAATTTTCTTCATCCATTTCTATGTTCTTAATGCTTATGTTGTTTGGAAGAATTAAAAGAACTGTGAGTTTCCTTTGTGAATTTTTATGAATCAATATTGCATTGTTTCTAGGTTACAGCAGGAAAATATTCATAAAAGGTTATCAAAGCCAATAAACTCCATTATATTTTGTTGAGGAGCTTTTCTCTTTTCAAAAATAAAATGAACCTCAAGGGATCATTTTAAGCCACCTATACAAGACTTAGGACTTAAAAGTCTATAATGGCACATCATTTATTCCATGGTGAGAGTAAGGAGGAAAAAGGAAATATGGGAGCTGCTTCTAACAAAAAGTTGTTTAGGGTACAATATTGTTTTTAATGAGAAACAACTGTGTAAACTTTAAAATTAAAACCTTTAAGACATCTTGTCAATATACTGATACATGCTTTGATGAAAATTACTCTAGCATAGATAAAATGCAGCGTTACACAGCAAATAATCTATTTCGCCCCTTAAAAGGTCTTTATCTTCAAAATCGATGTAGCTCAAAGGTAGTCTTAGAGATATATATAACTTCTGAGTGCTTCTGGGGTGAGAGAAAGCACTGTCTACAGAGTGCGAGTTCTAGGAGCCGTGGCCTTCTGGAGAGATGTGGCTAGGAGTCAAACCAGGAGCATCTGCAGAGGGCCATACCTACTGTCCTGAGGACATTTGCTGTCTCTGAATGACAGATCCTGTGGTCTTACAGTCCTCTGCCTCAGCAGGGGCATATGACACAGGCACACTGCTCTGGAAAGGACCATGCAGAGATCCAACCTGGCTGGACAGAGGAGAAGTCACGCTGGAGAGATGCAGGGAAAGACAATGACTGCATGCTTGCTTGCCTTACACCTAACCTTTTCCAGCTGGAAGCCTTCCAGGCCTTACCTCTGTTCTTCAGGGGAGGCAGTGTAGGGTGTAGGTCTTTATTACATTCATTCCTTTCTGTGCAGCATTCAATGGATCTTCTTTGATGAGGAATGGGAGTGTCCTAAAATTGAACCCACACAACTATTAGCAAGTTTATTCTGTTTCAATGTCATACTAAGACATAAAAAATAATCATTAGAAAACTTACCTTAAAATTCTTATAATATTGTGCATCTTAAAAATATTATTTGCTATCAGGTTCAAATTATCCTGTTCTATCTTACTGCAACTTCTGCATTTCAACAAAATTACTATTATGTCTGTAATAACTAGTATACATAAACTGAAGAAGTCTTGGCTTAATGCAATTAGGTAAATTGGATTTAGAAGGTAATCTAATGAGACACTATTTCAAAATTCAAAATGAAGGGAGAATTGGTCCAGTGAGAATTTTCAATTTTTTTCCAAATTACTAATGGCTGGCCATGAAAAACAACTGTTTTGCCTTGCTTGGATCTTGCTGGAAATCTAGCCAATGCAAGGTTACAAAGTAAAATCAAGTTGTCGTCCTTACCCGACACTGAAAATCAGAGCCTTCCAGTCCTAGACATCCGGAAGTGACAACAGGCAGCCCAGAGTCGTCTTCCTCTATCATTGTGAAGCAGTATCCGTCTGTGCTGAAGGGAGACAGCCAAGGCAGTGGGAGAGTGAGAATGAGTTAGTATGTCTGGGGAGGTGAGATGAAGGATGTGTAGCATTTGTTTCAATGCAAATAGGGAGAAAATGAATCACCAGTACAGGCTACAAACTGTTCAGACAATCTCAAAATTTCCTTTTATGAATGTGGATTTGTCTTCAAAACACCTGGTAATACATTCTTTACACAGAAGTTCATGAGGAAGGAGGAATCAAAATTTCCATATAACAATCATGAATTGACATTAATAACCATATATACCACTTGCTGAACTCACTTTGGGCCTTCCCAGATGGAAATTTCTCCAGATAAATCTCAACCAAACAACTCTGAGGAAGGTAGTACTATCCTCAACTCCTGTGTGAGGAAACTGAGGCTCAGAGAGCATCAGTAATTTCCCAGAAGGGCACAGTGAGGGAGAAAGGCCAAGGGCTGGCCCCATGCAGGTGCATGCTGATGCTGGCTCCACCTGCCTGAGCTAGGGAAGTACACTCATCTCATCCCAAACACCACAGTTAAAGCCAGGAAGGTGCTGAAGCAGCATGGTAGACTGAGCAACGATGACTGTGTCCCTGCTTCCTCTGCTTTGCAGGCTGACCTGTCACAGGGCGAGAGTAAGCTTTGTTGTAAGCCATCTGGGCTAGAACCAGGAGCAGCCAAAGATCCACAACACAAAGTGTTCTGACACAAAAATGGAAACAAACAATTTTTATTTTTTATACGTTTTCCTGGATTTATACTCTCTTTTTCTATGTCATTTAGTCCTCTGAATAACAAGAAGATAGTAATATTTCTATTTTATAGGTGGAGAAATTGAGAAAGTAATAACCTTATGAGCCGGGGATTTAGCTTAGTGGTTTTGCCGCCTGCTGTGCAAGCGCAAGGACCCAAGTTCGATCCCCGGTACCAAAAAAAAAATAGTAATAACCTTATGCAAAGTCAAAAATAATTACAGTAAGGCTGTGATGGTAAAACTTTATAGCCAAGCACCCAAACTGCAACTCAAAATCCACTAAAATCCAATTGTTTATTGCAAAGTACCAACACTACAATTAAACTTGAATGCTGAAGTTTTGGTTTAGAAAAAACAACTCAGACGTTAACATTTTTTGTCTTAAAATAAAAACAAATAACATACGTGCCATAGGTTTGCCACCATTGCACTAAGGTACATATCAATTCCCCAAAAGTATAATTATTATGCATTGCAAACATATAACAATAAAAAATTTAAAAAGTAGTTATAGAATCAGGCCTTGAATCAAGGTCTTCTGACTTCATTCTCACAAGAACTGGAGCTACACATCGAGGTGATGAATCCCAGGGGATGCCCAACATCAGTAATAAACCACTATTGCATGTCCTCAGAAATAAACCACTGAACCATACTGTCACCCTTGTCTCATTCATATGCACGCTCAGGATTCAAGACAGACATGACAATGTGATGTAGGAAGAAAGCTGTGAGGATGGTATTAGCCGTGATTTGTAGGTCTGTCTATTCTGCATCAGTGGTAGCAGCACTCTGCCATGCATCCGCCCTTCAGTTATCATCAACATCCTTAGAAGTGTTTACTTGGTTTATAAGCCCAAGTGATCCAACAGACCTCAGTCTATAAGAAGTAGCAAAGCAAAGTTCAAGTGTATTAATGAATAGCGAGGAGGCCAATGATAGATCACTTTGCTAGACGAAGGTCAAATGCATGAATATTGCCACAGAAGAAAGACTGTCTCTGAACAGCCCATGCTCTGAATTCTCCTGGGGCATTTTAATAAATTTATGAAAGTTCTATGGAAATGTAAAGCATGTAAATGTTAAAAACAATAAATAATACAGCTGTTTCTTGAAATTTAAATAACATGAATGAACAATACTTGTGTGATTTTAAAATTTGTTTCCTACATATTTAGATTGTGTAACTTGTGGGGTATGATCAGAAACTATGATCAATGTTTAAAATTTTTTAAAAATTTATTACAGTAAAAGACACATTGCCATTAATCCCACTCAAAATCCTCCCCCTTCCTTCAGATACACTTATCCCATCACTCTTGCCACTCTCTGAAGCAGTTCAAGTTCTCTTTTGTGTCTTTAGTTGTACTGTCATGACTGTCTGGGTGTCCTGATGTCCTGAGTTGATTCAAAATGTTTCCCTTTCATGGTCATTTTGACATGGGGAAGAGCTGGAAGTCACATGGTGCTGCGTCTGCTGACTAAGGTAGATAAGGGCACACCATGTTTTTGTGAGCCTGACTTCCCTTCACATGGAATTCAGCAGCTTTACTCACTGTTTTTTTAATGACCCCTTATAAAGACTCTCATAAAAGAGGACTACTAAAACTGCTTCAGAAAGTGGCTAGAAAGATGGGAAAAGTGTGTTTGAACCAAAGGGGAGTACTTTGGAGGAATTAATGCTAGTGTTTCTTTCACTGTGATAAAATTTTTGAAAATTTAAACATATTTCAATCATCCCTCATGTATTTCTTATCATAAGCAAGATTCAGAAATTATCAGAAATAACAGTTACCCTAATTTTCTGACATGAATATACAGGGGCTTGTGCAGTTGATATGTAGATTAGAGCTCAAGACTATTTCTTGCTTATTGTGAGTTCCTCTTACTCAAACCTGAGTATATGGAAATGGACTTCTGGATAATTTATAAAAATCAAGAAAGGGATGAGAAAATGTAGTAAAGCTGTTGGTAAGTTAATGTTATAAGGTCCTAGGAAACATAAACATCAGGGAAAGTATATTCAAGCTTTAAAAATTCACTCCCCTGTTTGCAAAGAGGAAGAAGCCAAAAATATAAAGAAGCAAAAGTAAGAAAGAGGGACCTTCGAGAAAAGAATCAATGTTCCATTCACCATAAACTCACAAAGGAATCAAATATCCAGTTGAAGGAGGAGGTGATAAAGCCGTTTCTGTGCATATAATCTTCAACTAAGCAAAAGTGATTTATAAGCTTCTCTCTGAAACTGCTATCTAACCAGAGAAATTAACTGGACACTTGCAGTACATTTATGAAGCTTGAGAATTACTTGGAAGCTTTCAACCTTCAAGCCAGCACGTGTAAACAAAACTAAGGCCCAGAGTCAAGGCCAATGAACTCTGCCCACCACTGAGATTCCATGGCTGGATGTCAGGAAGGGAATTCAGCTCCCACAGCAGATTTATGTGAGTACCCCACTGCCTAGGTGCCATGTTTAACTTAGTCTTATATAAGCAGATTATCACCCCATCACCCCCAGAGTGCTCAAAGTGAAGAAGAGATGAAGAACCACAAAGGAAACCAAAGAAGAAAGAATTTTAAACAAAATTGGAGCAGTAGGATGTACACATAATTATAGGCCCAATCACTGAACTGGAGTAATGGTTATGAACACAGACAGAGAAAACGGCAACACTTCCAGAATCCCGTCCCTCTGTGTTACGGCCAAGAAGGGTGATCAGAATGGAACACAGTTGTGGTCACACCCACGTACTCAGTCACCAATGCTGAATATCTCCTGACAGGACTTTAATTTACAAAAAACAAAGCACTTGAGAACTTAAAGGTTACATGATGTCAAAAAAGTAATAATACAACTTTTACTATAACCCTTGGGTGGTTCTACAGATTGTTAAAATTCCCCGATGTTCCAAAAGCAAAGGCATTTCTGGAACATCCAGAAAGATCATTAGGCTATTAACTGCCTCAAAGAGATTTTAGTGTGTCCAAGTGAACATACTTCATCAAGTAAGGGGTCTTTCTGTTTTAAACCTTGGAAGGGCCAAGTGATCCCCCCTTTTTTTGATACTGGGGATCGAACTCGGGTCCTTGTAGTTGCGAGCAGCGGAACCACTGACCTAAATCCCCGGCCCTAAGGAAATGAAGTGACAGAACTTTTGGGGGGTTTTTTGTTGTTGTTGTTGTTTTTGGTACTGGGGATTGAACTCGGGACCTTGCGCTTGTGAGGCAGGCAGTGGAACCACTGAGCTAAATCCCCGGCCCAATCCCCTTTTTAGGCATGCAGTTACATTTCCAGAGACTGCAAGCTTTTTATCTCCTCTCGTTTCTTATCCAATGGGTTAAATGGCCTTCTGGAGTGCACCTCTTTCCTACATTATTGCAGATGGTAAGAAATCAATTTCACAAGGCACCTAAAACTGCACTGGCAGTATCTTTACTCAACATGAACACAGTTTTGTGAGGCACGTCCAAGCTTTGGTCTTTTTAACTCTATTCTTCTACTAAGGTCTCACATTTATTGCAAACCCCAAGCTTGTTCACAAACAGTCACCATGGCTGAGAAGGAACTATTTCTGAACATTCCGACTAGCTCAAATCTTTATATAGATTAAATTAACTCTAAAATAATTACCAAAGATTTTATCTGCTTTGCTCAATTAGATAACAGAAAATTTAAAAGCATTATTTTAAATCTGCTCTCAATCAAAATTAATTGCATCTGCTCAATGTCATCTGCCTATGAGGATTAACAGTTCTCTTGAATGATCAATATTTATTACTTTTTCCCCCAATATGTAACAAATACTAGAATTAATTTTTATTAACTTAATTTTCATTAATTCAATTTTCATTCAGGTTGGATTTTTAAATGCTGGTTTAAGTCATTTGTAAACAAACACTTAAGGAAATCTGGTGTTCTAAAATATCTATTTCAGACCTAAGGAAATAAAGTAAGTTTTCAGAATTTTCTGTCACAGGTAAACTCAAAGATACATAAAGTTTGTAGAGTTGCTGTATAAATCATGTACATTGTAGTCAGCTGAGGGCCACAGCTTATTCACCAGGGGTTCATTTTATATCCATGGAGCACACTGGGACTCAGGTGGATCGAGGTGCTGAGGACACAGGGTCAGGGGATGTGACCTTTGCTTTTGAGGAGCTCCTCATCTACGAAGGCCACCAATCCTAGAAGAGGGACATCTGTCCAACTTTAAGCAATGAGAGTAGAAATTGTAAGCTACTGAAATGTTTCCTACCAACTGGGAAATAAGCAAAGAATGCTGAGCAGTAGTAATTACCAAAGTAATTGGATCCTAAGGTTTTCGGTTTTTGTTTTCTTTCCTAGATGGAGGATTCCCATAGGGTTGGAGGGAAATAGAATAAAATGTTTCTAGTTCTGTGTGCACTTCTTTCGCTTTTCCTCTGAGTCATCTCTGTATTCAGAAAAGGCAAGGTTACAACATGAATGACAAGGTCCCTCTGTGAGAGTTACCTCACTATTCCTTTCAAAGCCTCCTAGAAGGTCTTCCTTCTTGTCTCTAACACTAACCCATTCTCCAAAGCATTGGTGGCAAACCTATAGCATACGTGCTGCAGCAGGCTGCCTGTATCACTGAAAGACCTAAAAGGTTTGCCATCACTGTTCTATAGTGTATCCTGATAGATCTTATGTTTTCTTTCTCTGCTCAACAATCTTCAATGGTTCTCTGTGTGTAACAACAAACTGGGCCCATTTAACATTTTCATTTCTGACTAATAAGAGGCACAAAAGAGGAGTAATTTTTCATAAAAGACTTCATCAGTTAATTTGCAATCACAGACTCTTACAACTAAAGGACAAGTTCTAATGAAGGACTCACCATTCTCCTAAGAACTATTATTTGAAATCAGCATCTTTTATTGGGGGGAAAATTATAAAGCTGGATGTTTAGATGGCCTGGGCAACAGTGTCAAAAACTGAATGGCTTATAGTGGCATTCATCACACAAGGGGAGGTGTACAAGATAACAAACAGAACACACACTATGTAGACAGAGGTCAGAAGCACCTAAGCACCTACACCACTGCACTCAGCAAACTGCAAAGAGCCCAGCAGCCCCCTGGGTTTTCTTCTGTCCCGAGAGTCTTCAAGACATGCAGTTGGAGACAGCAAACCCCTTGTCACTGGTATGTGAGGAGGTTAACCCAAAAACTGAAACTTAAGTAGCACATTGAGAGGGTGGGTGTTTCATGTGCCCTGAAATGAAATAACATAAAATAGGAAAAGCAAGCATGTAATTTACAATTTTTTTCAATTCATGTTATAATGATTCATTTTTATTCTGCTTTACAAAAGTATCAGGGTCCAACTCATGGCGGGGGGAGGGGGTGGGTGTTTCTCCAGAGAGAGCCCGGGAAGCACCGCTTCAGAGGACAGACATTAGTGTGCGCACACAGATGCGGAGGTACAGGCGCGTCTCTCTCGGGATTCCCACAGGGCAGATCGCAGCTCACAGGAGGACGCTCCTGGAGGCATCACTGCATCAACAATCAACTGGGGCTTTCAATGCAGGTCCCCGCTGCTGCTGCTCTCCTCTAAGAACCAGTGTTGGGATGGCTTCTGGCCAAGAACTCACAACTTGGGAATCGGCCACGATCTTTTTACCAGACCATCATGCCTCAGATTTCTGAGAAAACTGCATAGGCTTTTAGAGCCTCAGATTTCTTACAAGTAAAATATAAATAATGCTCCATCTCTCTAGGAATACTGTGGTGATCAGTGATAGGTGAAAGTAAACATGCTAGTATTTATGAACATTTTGGTAATTATTATTTTCCTGTTTATGTCTACAGGTTAGTCCATCTGTGTTGACTGTAATAGTGCAAATTATTTCTTCTGGGAGCTTCCATTGTTACTATTGCTGATTTTGTCTCTTTTGGGGTTTTTTTCCCATTTTCTACCATAAATCAAAAATTGACAACCATGTTATTCAAGCCCATCTCAATCTGGCTTCGATCTCTACTGAGTATCTCTAGACTGCTCTTACTAACATCATGACATCTGACCGGCATTTTTCATTTCTCATCCTTGACCTCTACTCACAGTAAACACAGCTACCTTTACTACTTCCCTCTGCCCACCCAGTTCCAATAACACTACTTAAGTCTCCTGGGACATCCTCTTAGCATTAAATGTCTCCAGGCTCACTTCTATTCAGGTAGATGCTCTCGATTTCTGGTCCTAAATCTTCATGCTTCATTATATAAATGACTTCCTGTTATTCCAAGCTTGACTACGTCACTTAATTTGATTAAGGGAACGTTGGAGGACATGATCACACAGAGGCTTTAAGGGTCTGCTTTCTCACACTCATGTGAGTGAGAACAAGCCCTGGGAACTGCTGGTCCAAGGAGAATAAAGAAATGAGTAGCAGGGCTGAAGTCAAGGTCCCCCAGTCCCAGCAGAGCCCAGCCCAGCGGCAGCCAACCTATCAACCTCCAAGTGAAAAAAGTTATGTGTGGACTTACAGGCCTCTGTGACCTTAAGGCCATTCAGCAAAGACGACCAGTGTTCTAGCTACTTGTACTCTCTCCTGAATGCCTATCTGCATAGAGATCTGTGCCCTACTGCCCATACCCTTTGACATCTCTACTAATATCCCCACACTGGGAACTTCCTTCCTTTCCTCTGTCCAACTTCATTAAAGGCAATGCTATGCATTTAAATCTTTGTCCAGGATCACGGAAGGCCCCTCTTCTCTCTCTCCTCCCATATCTAATCCATTAACCCACAACTTCACATTCTATATATTTCTCAAATACACCCAACTCTCCTACACCAGTAACATTCTAGTTCAAAGTCATTTTCTCTCACATGAATTTAGTCTTACTGAACCTACTTTTCAAATTCTCATGCTTAACTCATCTTTGCACTTTTGTCTACTTCTCATACATTCAATACTCTGCAGCAAAGATATTTTTTCAAAGAAACAAATCAAATCATGTCATTCCCAGCTGCCACTTCTGCTTCAGGACCTCCTCATGATTTTCCTGTGCTCCTGGGTGTACAGCTAACATTAACACAGCCTACCAGACACAGTGATGTCCCTTGCTTCTGGCCTCTGTGCTCTAGGAAGCCAGTCTCCTTTGGACATACATGCTTCTCCTTCCCACAGCAGAGCATTTTCAGCAGGCAGCCCCTGCTTCTCCCAAACCAACTGACACTTCAGTCGCTTAACAGGAAAATGGGACAAAATATTTGAAATTAAGATAGTTGTAGAAAATCCTAAACATATGATCACCCTGACAACAGCCCAGGTGATACACACTGATGTATCATGACTACTATAGACTTAGACAAAATAGTAAAATACTCCCTTAATTAGCTTCCACCTGCTAATTTCTCTCTGCTTAGGAAATTTTTTAATTTTCCCTACACTCTTTACTCTAAACATACATTGTTTCCCAGGAAAACCTGTCAGAGCTCCAAATTATTTTAATCACAAAGCTCAGTGAGGTGGGAGTGTTTAGTAGTAAACAGCTAGTCACAGACCTCTCTGGATCACAAACTCCACCTGTCTGAAAGGAAGAATCAACATTCCCTGCAATGCTGAGTTGCTCTGCTGATTAAAAGAGAGATGTATTTTCTATCATACCCAATTTTTCTCCCTGTGTTGTATCAGTTAATGTCTATTTCTTGTGCTAAATATACTGGGTCTTTGTGATATATCAATAAACTTACCCAGGTTGAGCTGGGACCAAAATCCAAAAATGAAATTTATTTATGTTTTATATACGCCTTATACAAATAGCCTGAAGGAAATTTTATACATTTTTAAAGTGCCTGTGCTTGAACTGTAATTCTTATGTGTGATCCATCTTCTACTCAGGACATTATGTTTATGCTCCAACAGTTTGCAAATCTGAGGCAGTTTGGATCTGGGATACTTCAGTTAGACTGTGCATCATAGGAAACTTTGTAAGAGTTCTCTGAAGATAAAAATGCACTGAATTCAGATTTGTTTACTCTCCTGGCAGATAAAGCTGCACACAGTGGCCCAGAGAGTCTACCTGGGCTCTAACCTAGCTGTCCACTGCCCTATCTGGGTCCAGACTCTCTAGAGCCAGGCTCTGCTTCTTGGACATTTAACTGAGGCCCATTCTTGTCTGGCCACCCTCTCCATTTCTTTTTTTTTTTTCGGTACTGGGGTCGAACTCAGGTCCTTGCGCCTGCAGGGCAGACGGCGAAACCACTGAGCTAAATCCCCGGCCCACTTCTCCATTTTTCTCAGCACACTCTGGCTTCCTTAGGCTACAGCCCTTTACTCACCGTTGTCCTCAATCTCAGGAGTAAATGCAGCTACTGTATGAAACACAATGGATACAGTTGCATAAAGGTGGAAGAAGGAAATGTGACAAATGCAAACAGTTCACTTTCAAGTGTTATAAAGCATTATAAAACATGATTATCAACTTAGTAGTTTATTTTCTAGTACTTTGATAATGTCTTTCCTAACATCTGGTGGATCCACATAAATTCTGTCAAAGTACTCCTCTCTCAGTCAGTTTATTAATATTCCCAACAGCTTAGGTGTTCTTTTGAAATTACCAACACCACCAATATGAAGAATGGTCAAAACATCACACATGTGACATCTGCTCCTACTGAACTGACTGTAGAGAGGAGGTGTTTGGCAAATAGCAATTGACTTTTGCTCCCCGACAAGGAGTGTGGGATCTGTGGTGTGTCTGTGTACCTATAGGCTGTCTGGACGGAGGAGATGACCAGAACCAGTTTAGGGTAATATACAATCCTGTCTTTCTCAAAAGGTAGCATAGCTCTACGAGTTAATGGAGGTAGGCACTATTCTCCAAATTGTACTTTTGGAAACACTTATGATTAAAAAGGTGCAACCCTTTGATAAAGCTACATTTAAATCATTTATTTCACCAACCTGCAAATATTATTGACTGAGTCCTCTGGACAATGGTGGTGGCATTTGCAACGCAAGATCTTCGGACGAGGGGTGGGGGCAGTACTCTCACCATCCTCTTTCTTGGTGCCCACATTTAATTTTCCTGAACTTCTCAAAAGCATGTTACCAAAGTTTGCTGAAAAGAAGAAAGAATGGAGTTAAGCATTTGTATGTTAGCATACCACAGTCCTCTGTCCAAGGATTAGACTAAAATGTATAACAGACATTGGGAAATGGGAAGAAAATGTTCAAATGGGAAGGGGAACAAGGGAGGGGGAGGGTCAAAGAAGGGACAAGAAAAAAAGAGAAAATAGAAGGAAAAATGGAAATGTAGCTTTTGTAAATAAGGAGGGGAAGAGGGGATGAAGGAGGAGGGGGAAATAAGAAAAAGGGAAGAAGCAAGATATATCATGGACAGGTACAAATTCCCTATGATGAATGTTACCATTATGTATATCTAAAATGTACCAATAAAAGTTTTGCTTCAAAAAATACATAACAGAAAACAAGGAGATAGATCTTTTACAAATGGGAAAAGGAGCAAGAGTTGGAGGAATAGGAGAATGAGGGGAAGAAAAAGAGAAATAAGAATTAAGATGTGTTATGTACATGTACTAACTCTCCATGATAAATGTACTTGTTATGTAATGCAAACATTTGCTAATAAAATTTTTTTAAATTAAAAAAACTGCACAAATAGGAAGCAAAGTATTCATGACAATGACTTAACAGAAACCAGATATTCTATGTTTTTGATAAAAAATTATACTTTCTATACTGTATACATGTCATTAGAATACTCATAATCCTTTCAAAATATGTTTTATATTTTAAATAGTTGTATTTAACTGAGTACAAGGTCAAAGAAACAATACGATAAACATTACTTTGTGTTAGTACCATAAATATTATCAATGTCTCAGATGAGAAAATAGAGACTCAAAGCTTAAGTAATCTACACATAGTCAAGAAATCATAGATCCAGTGTTTTAAATCAAGATTATTTGAAGCCTTACACTGTGTTTCTACCTCATATCATGAGGTCTCACTACTTGAGGGACATCACATATTTTACAATAAATTATCAAAAATATTTAATTTGAAAAGGAAAAAACTTAGTAAACATCAAGATATATGTGAAAAAACATGTCTTCCCCATCAGGTTTTATATGCAGAATTTCCCACCTATTACTGTAGTGATGCTTCTATTATCTTTGAGGGAGGACACCATAGTAGACATGATCTCATAAAATTATTTTCTGTGTTCAACAATAGTCTTCACTATTTACCATTCAATTGTCTTTGGATAACTGTATAAATAATCTTCTCGTTCCTCATATTCCTAAAATAAAATCCTTAAAATGGAGATCATTATAAGCAACTACACCTGATGTCAAGAGCTCAATGTGTGCAAGAAATAACATCAAGAATTGACAATTGGAGGGCTGGGGATTTAGCTCAGTGGTTTCGCTGCCTGCTGCGCAAGTGCAAGGACCTGAGTTCGATCCCCGGTACCAAAAAAAAAAAAAAGAATTGACAAATGGGATTATATCAAGTTCCAAAGCTTCTGCACAGCAAAGAAATTAATGACTAGAGTGAAGAAACAAACTACAGAATGTGGAAAAATGCTTGACGGCTACTCCTCAGCCAAAGGACAAACATCTAGAATATATAACGAGTTAAAAAAAATTAGACCCCAAATAAAAGACCCAAGGGAGAGCAGGGGAAATGGGGAAAAAATAAGAACCAAGATACATCATGTGTTTACAAGATCCCAATGATGAATGTAACTGTACTGTATACCTAAAATATACCAATAAACTTAATGAAAAAAATGGGCAACTGAAATGAATAGATACTTCTTAAAAGAAACTAAAATGGTAAATAAATACATGAAAAAATGTTCAAAATCACAAGAGAGAAATGCCAATTAAAACAACGTGAGGTTTCATCTTACCCCAGAAAGAATGGGTATTACCAAGGAATGCAATAATAAATGCTGCAGAAGCTGTGGGGAAAAGGAAACATTTTTAAATTGTTGCAAATGTAAACTAGAACAACCACTATGGAAATCAGTGTGGAGATTCCCCAAAAAACTAAAACTAGAAACTCCATGTGACCCAGCTCTTTCTCTTGTAGGTATCTTCACAAAAGAGTTAAAGACTTCGTATTACAGGGATATATGCATACCCATGTTTATAGCAGCACAACTCATAACAGCTAAATCTGTATGTCCATCAGCAGATAGATAAAGAAAATGTGCTGTTTACACACAGTGGAGTACTCCTCAGCCATAAAGATAATTGTGAGACATTTGTAAGAAAATGGATGTAACTTGGGACCATAACATTAAATCAGTAAAATAAATCAGTCACACAAACAACTATCACATCACTTTTCTTACATGAGAACCCCACAGTACAAATATGTTAAAGAGCAAAATAAAAGATAGATATTATAAAATAGGGAGATAGGTCCCCCTGCAAATGGAAAGTGGAGCCAGAGATGGGGGAAGAGGGCACGGGGAAGTAAAAAGAATTAAGATCTGCTATGTACATGGGCCAACTTCCAATGATGAATGTACTCATTATGTGCTGCAAATATGTACAAATAAATATAGAAAAAACAGCATGTATGTTAGATAGTAAGAGGCATACACTGATACCTACTGAGTTTAGGCACTGGGGTAAGAAGTTCTTACATGTGCCGTGTCAAGGCATTACTCCTCACCAGGACCAGTATTCAATTTAACATTTCTCTCATAGCACATCTTGTTGGCTGATGATTAAATAAAATTTCAAGAATATATCATCTAAATTAAACATTATTGGGTTAAAAACTGAAGTCATTACATCAAAAATGCAATATGTGCAATAGACATGTATAGTGTGCATATGCTATTTTTTAAACCATAAGTAAATTTCTGTAGGCATTGAGAATGAAAAGTTTCAGAAGAAAAATCAACAATAATTTTTCCTGGATTTTTACATGTTAAGCTAATTAGTCAAATTGTTAGGGAATAACAGTTTAAATCAAAGTCCATAAAGGGATTGGGGGGGGCGGGGTGCACGCCTGTAATCTTAGCACTCAAGAGGATGAGACAGGAAAACTTCAAGTTTAAGGCCCGGCTGGGTAACGTAGAGAATTCAAGGGTTACTATTACATAGCAAGACTTTGTCTCAATCAATAAAATTAATAAAATATGTGAGATGAACTTATCGGAACTTTCTCTATGATCACTACAACATCTTATATTTTCACAAATGTACATAAGATGTTTGTACAACTTTCTCAAACAGTTCTTTGCAAACTTAGTTTAGAAAATACATGTTGATTATAGTGGGCAGCTGAGGGGTACAAGGAGCTAGTTCTATGTAGAATTCTGCCCCATCCACAGTGATTAGATTCTCTAGGCCTCAGGTGAGTGAAGGAAAATATATACTCAACAAAATCTCTTGTGATTTTGAGACAGTACAGACTCCACTCTAAGAAATCCTGGACCCGATCAGGCAAATAATACATATTTAATCCAATCACATAATAAATCTCAACAGGTGTATACTATTCTTCATCCTTCACTTAAACACAGTTAAATGTACTTCCTGTTTCCACTTTGTCTCACAAGCCATTTGTTCCAAATCTGTCTCCAGAAGAGTGACAGCTGCCCCTGCCCACCTGGTGCAGTGTGCCACACGGCGTGGTAGCTTCTCTTTAATCTGACTCTCAAGCTCGCCAACTTGATGAGCTACCTCAAGGGATAAAGCCATGAAAACAGGGTATGTAAGACTCACTACCTCCTGCTTCCTCACATACTAGACCCTTTGTCTTTGAAATTTTAAAACAAAATAATAAAAATGAATTTGTTCTGGAGATGTTACTTAGCAAATATGCACTGAATGCTTGCCATGTTCCAGGCACAGCCTGGTTCACTATGATGAGCAAAACATACACAGAATTTGCCATCTGCTAGGAAAATTTATTAAGTGAAATTTCTGCACTGAATGGTCTAAAGCAAAAAAGGAAACATCTTCATAAATTGGAAATAAGATTCCATTTTGGCCAAAAAAAATTTTTCACATCATAAATTTATTTAAGGATAAATTATCTGTAAAATTTAGATGCAAGAACATTCTTTGCAAAAATAAAAAGAAAGAAAAAAGGACCAAAAAAGATGGCTCTTTGCAATGCTTCTTGTAACAACCCATGTCTACCAGAAAGGAGGTTATGCCTCGAAAATGGGATTCCTATGTTGCCCTTAAAATGCAGATATGGTGTGTATTTATCAACAAGAAAAGATGTTAAAATATGTCTGGTGGGAAAGGCAGAGTACACAGTACTCTACTACGGAATCCCCTTCAACGAGAGAGGAGATGGGCTGCAGTTAGAAACTGCAATGGGGAAGAGAACAGGAGAAGGAAATCCTACAACAGCCCGGGCAGCAGCAGGACAAGCAGTGGACAAAGCAAAGAAAGCTGACTCTCAAGATGGAAGAGAAGAGAAACTAAGAAGCAAAACAATTTTACCAAACACCCACAAGCAATTCCAGGTCAGCACTAAGGGTGAAGGGCACATCTGATGATCTGTTTTTATAAGTAGAGTTTAAAATGCCCTTCCCCCTTCCCCACGAACTAGTAACCGTGCTCCCCGCCCTGCCGAAGACCGGAAGGGTAAATCTTATGTACCTGCTTTACTTTCCTCTCTGACAATCCAGATCACGGCCAGAGTATCAATAGGGGGCGGGACGACCCCCTCACTGCCACTTTGGGCAGACAGGGATTCATGCAGGACAAGACCCTCAGTCCTTTCCCCTACATGACTCTCAGAACCCAGTCCAGCCCGGCTTGCGCTTCTTTACTGGGAAACTGGACCAGGTCAAGAGTAATGGAGCTAAAGACAGAGGTGCTGGGGGTTTCTCGGTAAGACAGCCCTTCATTGTCACCTACAGGGTGCCCCCTGGTGACAAGAGCCACCCCTGTGCGGCCAGCTTCCCTCAGCTCTTCTAGGGCTCCACTCTCTTAGAGAGGAACCTTACTTCCGGGTCACTAGAGACCTGAAGAAATCCTCAAACATCAAAGGCTGAGGATGAAACAAATACGCTGAAAACCCACTCGCAAGAAACAGATACTCTATGGAAGG